TTATACAACAACTGAATTGAGGCGCTGGGAAAAAGAAATCTGATGAGTTTCTCAGCCTGACAGGGACATGAAGGCCTTTTCTGAAAGGTCATCCAGCCCTCTGCAGAAATGCCCAGTCACAACCAGGGCTTGCTTGGTTTGGGAGGAAACTGAGTGGAGTGGGTCTCACTGGCCCCCACCACTGGGTGAAGCTGGGGTGAGGCAAATGCCAGCCAAGTACTGGGGGGTCCGGACTAGGGTGCACTCACTTGGAGAGGCTTCTGGCCTGGGCCTGGGGAATGCACACAAAGGGCACTGCAGGCTTTCTGTCCTCTGGCAGTTTTATTTGGGAACTCCTGCCTCCCGCCTCACTTTCCAGAAAGGTTCTGGGGTGCTGAAGGCCCCTAAAGGTGCTTCTCACCAATCCCACTTCTCTTTTGTATTTTCCCCCCTTATCCATATCAGGGCAGCAGCATGCCGTAGTGATCCAGCATAGAAATTAATCCGTTTTGTTTTACAATTAATCTGTTATATGGTACATTTAAACTTTATTTTCTTTTCCTGATTTTTTTTTTTTTTTTTTTTTCAGTTTTTGAAGGGAAGAGCAGGGAGGGGAGAGAAAGCAAATAAACCCCAGGCCAATCATCTAGTTTACAAAATGTTTCTTTATCAGACAAGCGCTTTCACCCCTGGAGAGTGTTCCCCTGATACATGTAATCATTTGTTCACGAAAGGCACATGGTAGCTGCTCGATTGAAACCTGCTGTCGAAATGGATCAATGAAGAAATAAGGGGATAAGATGAGTAATTTGGACAGAGTAAAGTCCTGGTGAGGAAAAGAAACAACACTGAAAAGCCACTGGAAAACACTGAATGAGCAAGGACTCTGGACACACCCTGATTGTTTCCAGGCCCATTGCATCAAACAGGGCACACCTGTAGGTAGAGAGGCCACCGCTGAGCAAGGGGTTCTTTGTCAAGGTCTCCTCACCCACCCCCACTCAAACCTGTTTGGAGGCAGCAGCCCAAACAAGCAGGGAACTGCCCTTTTTTAAAGGTCATGGGAAACCGAGGTGAGCAGCCAGGCGAGCCCAAAGCCAGCAGTCCCTGGCTGTCACCTCAACCCTGATTGAGGTGCTGTCCCTTCCCTCATCTGCACAAAGCCAGTTGGGGAGGAGGGGCAGCGGGGGCAGAGGAAACCGGACCCTTGTTGGGAGGTGCCCAGCCTCAGCTCCTGGCCCCGGCCATCAGGCCACATGTTGTTATGGTTTGAGTTGACCAGCTGGAATCAGCAGGAGGGTTGTAAGGAAACCACATTAATTAGGAGAAAGCAAACAGGACTGTCACGGGCTCTGCCAGCCCTTTCTCCCAGTTCTCCCGCAGCCCCCTCCCACCCTTGTCTCTACCCCATCAGCTCTCTCCTTCCCTTGCCGTTTTGCTGCCTCTGCTCATTCACAGCGAACATCTGAACATCTGTGTGGCTCTTGGCTCTGACCCACTCTTCCTGGGCGAGGTGGGAGGAAGGCTGGAAGAGCACACTCATCCACAGCTGGGACCAGAACTGCCTCAGCCCCGAAGCCACAGACAGGCTGATCCACCCATGGCTTCCTAACTCTTGCTTTTGCTCTGACCTGAGACAGCTGTCCTGTTGGCCAGCAGCAAGTCACTTAGACCAGATCATCTCTGCTGCGAGTTTAAGTTTTTCTTGGCAAAATGAACACTTCTGGGTTCATCTGTTATGAATGTTTCCCTGAACATCTTCATTAGGACGGTTTACTTGGGACTTGAGTTCTCTCAAGGGTCCAGGACAAGGGGTGGGGGAAAGAAGGAAGATTTCCTTGGAAAATGGGGTGGAAACAAGGGGGCTGGGCTCCTGGGAGGAGGAGGTGGACAGAAGATTGTGTCAGGATAAGGAATGGTTCATCGGCCTCCCTTCTCTCATACATGTTCACACAGTGTCATTGCTGCCCTTCAAGGCCCAGGATTACTATTGCAGCTGGAAATAGTTCTTCCCGTGCATGAGAGTGACTCTGCCAACAGCCCCAGAAACTCTGGCTCCTGAAAAGACCTCTCCTTTGGGTGGCAACTACCACTTTGCAGCCCCCCAGAGAAGGGCCCTCACTCCCTTATATCCCACAGTACAGCTGTACTTGAAAATACAACAACAAAAACCACAACATACCCAACGGGGGACAGGGGCATATAAGACTCACGAATGAAAAGATGCTGTTTTTGGAGTAGGAAGATAGGTCTTAGAAAATATGTTTGAATTAAAAGCAACCTAAATGCCTAGTAATTGGGGATTGGTTAAGTAAGTTATGGCACTTGCAGACAATCAAATAGTATACAGCCATTTAAAACAGTGCTAAAGGGGATGTTGTGCTTCCACTGCAGGGGGTGCAGGCTTGATCCCTGGTCAGGGAACTAAGACCTTGCATGCTGCATGGCTCGGCCAAAATTTTTTAAATTAAAAAAAACAAAAACAAAAACAGTGCTAAAGAACAGAAAACGAGATCAAACAGAGATTCCAGAAATAGATCTATACCAGATAAAATGCAATGGGTGGAAGTATGACTTTTGTTTTTGTTTTCGTTTTTGTTTTGTGTGGTATGCGGGCCTCTCACCGCTGCGGCCTCTCCCGCCGCGGAGCACAGGCTCTGGATGCGCAGGCCCAGTGGCCATGGCTCTGGATGCGCGGGCCCAGCCGCTCCGCGGCATGCGGGATCCTCCCGGACCAGGGCACGAACCCGCGTCCCCTGCATCGGCAGGTGGACTCCCAACCACTGTGCCACCAGGGAAGCCCATGGAAGTATGACATTTTTAATAAATGATGCTGGATCATTTAAATTTCGCTATGGGGGAAAAAAATGAATCTTAATCCCAATCTCAGACCACATAATAAAACAATTCCAGATGAGTTCAGATCTAACGTGAAAGTTAAACAATAAAGTTTTTGGAAGAAAACAGAGGAGAACATCTTCATGACCCTGACAAGGAAAAAACTTTAAATAAGAAACCAAACAAGCCAACCAAAAAGGAAAGAAACCTGATAAATTACACTATGTTAAAATTAAAAACAATGCTTATCGAAAAATATACAGTTGACCCTTGAATGACACAGGCTTGAATTGCACGGGTCCATTCCTATGTAGATTTTTTTTCAATAGTAAATACTACAGTACCATTTGATCCTTAGTTGGTTGGTTCCCCGATTGTGGAACCATGAATACGAAAGAACCTTGGATATGGGGGAACCCCATATACACAGGGCTGACTACAAGTTATACTCGGATTTCTGACTATGTGGAGATCAGTGTCCTGACCCCCACGTTGTTCAAGGGTCAACTGTAATACAGAAGAATGAAAAGGCAGCCCAGAGAGAGGCAGATGACATTTGCCATACACACATCCAATGAAGGACAAGTATCCAGAATATATAAAGAACTTCTACAAATCAAAAGCTACAAGAACAGCCAAGGATTTCCTTATCCTGGCCAGAACACCTGGACCTATACACCACCAAAACCCTCTGCTCCACTCCTAATCCATGTGTCCGTCTCACTCACCTAGATTGACCTTTCTCTGGGTTTCCCCTTCCCAGGTCCTGGGAAGTTTCCCCTTCCCAGGTCCTGGGAAGTTTCCCCTTCCCAGGTCCTGGGAAGTTTCCCCTTCCCAGGACCTGTTTTTGCTGAATTTGATGTTTTAAGGAAACCCAATGCCACGTTTCTCCCACTCTCCTCATCTCTGGTGACACCACTCAAGCTCCCCATGCAGCAGCTGCTCTGCATCCTCTTAGTCCACAAGCGTGGCAGCCCCAACTGGAAGATGGACTCCTTCCCTCCCCTTCATCAGGGAATGTGCTCTGCCATTTAATGAGCCTGATTTTCCCATCCTTGAATTAGAGGATAACTAGAAAATCCCCCTTCCGGTGTGGAAAAGAATATCCTAACCACAATGTGGAAGAATTGAGCTGTTAATGGCTTTCCTTTCTTATGTAGCTCTAGGGGAATATCCTATACACCCTGCAAATCCAAAAGACAGAAAACTGGGCAGCTGTGTTTTCTTTCTGGTACTACAAGCTTCTTTATTAGGCAAGTATGCCAAACTTATGAAAAGCACCTAGCACAAAGGCCATTTCAGTAACTGTGCTATCAATAAATTATGTTTATTGAGCACTTATATTTTATCCCATCTAATCTTCACAAAAACGGTATAAAATAGGTTCTACCCATTCACTCAACAAGTATATAATGCACTCATTATGTGTCAAGCGCATAATGGATGCTGGAGCAAAAAAAAAAACAATGTCCTTGCCGTCAAGGAGCTTACAGTCTGGTGAGGAGACACATACTACACAAACAGATGCAAAATTGCAGTTGAGTGGGGTACTAAGATGCAGAGGTATGTGGTGCTGAGAACAAGTAACAGGGAGGTTAAGGAAGACTCTAATGTGGAAGTGAAGTTTGAGCTAAGCCCTGAGAAATAAGTTTACCAGTAGCCACAGAGCAGGCAGAGGAAATAGCTGAGCAAAGGCCCTGGGGCCAAAGGGAAGCACCAAGTTATGAGAATGAAAGACGCGCGGGGGATGGGGTGGGGGCGGTATTAACTCTACCCCAGGTCTGCGGGATACCTGATGTTCCAGAACCATTGTTTCTAACCATTTCAACTGCTCTGGTACAGACTTAAGCCCAGCCTCAAGAAGCTGAAAATCCACATCTCACTTGAAGAGAAGAAAAAGTTTTAAAGAAACAGGAGCAGTGCATGTGATTTTACCGAAGAAGCCCGCCAGGGAACGAAAGCGACCTTGGGAACTTCGAGGACTCGCAGACAGGAGCTAAAGATCTCCCTAGACTCTCGGAACAAAGCACAGGCTTCACACAACGCCGCACCGTTTTGCTCAAAGCGGGAGAGGTGAGGAAATGGAAGTAACGGACAAGAATAACGGAGCTAGAAGCCCACAGGACGCAAACGTCCAGCCCACCACTGCGGCTGCGCGCGCGCCGTTCCGGAAGCGGAAGTGCACAAGAGGTCAGCGTTGGTTTTCAAGATGGTGGCCCTTAATGTGCTGGTGTCCGGCTGTGGACGGCTGCTCAGAGGGCTCCTGGCAGGCCAGGCCGCAACCAGCCGGGCCCGGCCTCCAGCTCGCGGGTTCAGGGAAGGTGAGTCCTGGGTCCCGGTGACCTCCCAGGGTTGAAGAAGAGAAGCAAAGGTTGCTTCCTTCTGCTTCCGTGCCCCCTTCCCTCCCTTTCCTTCGCGCGGTTCCGAAACGCCGGAGATGCTTGGGCTCCGGGAGTGCTTGCAGATCCCTTCCAGACCCTGATGCTGTTACTTTGATCTCCCACCCATCGTGATTGTCCTCATGCGTGGGGACGGGGAAGGGGGATGGAGATCGGAGAGAAAAGCCTACTTAGTTAGTAGGGGCAGAAGAGAAACCTGTCTCAGGGTTCAGGAAAGTTTTTGGTTAGGGTCTGCATGTTAATTCTCCGTTCCGTATTCGCCGAATCGCCGCCTCCTTCATTAAAGAATTCCTGCGCCATCGGGGAAGGACATCTGGATAACCTCCCCCGGGCCTCCCTTTCCAGTTTCTCATCTGAAAATGCTGTAATCTGATGGCAGCTTTTTCTGCCTGGGCCGCTAGTCTGAGAAGTGGAAGCTAAGGTGGAAAGACCATTGAACAGTTGAAACAGAGGCATATGCTGGATGGTGGTTTTGCTTTTCATTAATCTTAAGTATGGAAAAGCAGCCTGATTCTAGTATTGCACCGAGAGCTTACTGAAGGCCAAGTGCTGTGCTTCAAGCTGTTAAGGGATTCTGGAGGAAAAAAAATATAACCCTTTTCCTGGGAATTTAGGTTCTAATAAGGTGATACGATACACTCCAATAAATGTAAGTTAGTTATTAGGTATTTACAAGCAGAAGTACGGGGAGATTAGGTTACCGGCAACAGCAAACCGAATTGGAAGTTTTCATGAAGGGGGGTGTGTCTTTAACAGGCTCATAAAAGGATGGAATCTGGCAGCGAGTGAAAAGGTCTTTCAGGACATAGTCTTTGTGCACTGCTGGAAGCAGGAAAGGATGAGTGATGTGCAGTAGAAGTGAAGTGGCTTTGTGTGTGTGTGAGTGTGTGTTTTTAAGATCTGGTGTAGTACTGACCAGCATATCCTTGAACTAAAGCTGAGAAGAATCCAGAGGAAAATAGTGATCATTTTTGCCAGGGGGACCATAAAAGTCCAAAAAGAAGAGCCTAATGAAGAGAGCATTGGATTTGTCTCAGCAAAGGTCTCTTTTTTTAGCTTTCAAACAGCAATTTCAATAGAATGGCATACAAGGAACCCAGTTTGGGGAAATGAGAGAGATAGTTCATGAAGAAATGAATAGGTGTGTTTGAAAAATTTAGCTATGAAGGGAAGATGGAACATGTGCTAGAAAGAACAACAAAATCCAGATACTGCCTGGTTAGCATTAGATAAACTAATTCATTGATAAAGAAAGACAACAAAGAGGTATCTTGGATAAGGTGTTTCATCTGTTCCCATGCTGCAAAATAGGCATATGCCCATAACATTTTTGAGGGCGTCTATCAAGTGTCAAACACTAACGGCTGCAATGTACTCATCCTTTACGAAATCAAAAGTTGAAAACATTTTTTTGCTATGTCCCCAGAGGATAAGCAAGCAGAAGAGTTCTGATTTTTTACAAAGGAATATTTGAGATTAGAATTTTTCAGTTGGAGAGTTTGTGAAATGCTGGGCTGTATGATGAGATGGGTGTTTGAAGTCTTCCTTTCCATAAACACCTGGTAGCTTCTCTGTGTCACTGTCAGACCTAAAGGCTAAATAATTGAATTTATGTGATCTTACATGAAGGCATTACCATATTCTATATTTTTCTTGAGAACCACCTATCTCCAAAGCCTTTAAATGAAAACAAAAAACAAAAAAAAAACTTGATGTTCTATCCATTATGTGTAAGGCATAAAGAATTACACATAAAGCTAATTTTGACTGGTCCCAGCTGCTATATTTGACACACAAATAATATTGTACACATAGAATTTAAAGTCATGGAGAGGAAGCTGGGTGTCTTGCTGAAAATATTCAAGCATTCTACTTTTCAGAGTATCAGATAGCACTTCCTTAATTCTAGTCAGAGTTCATGGGCACTCAGCACCACTCCTCCTGCCTGTAGAATCTCTCTGTCTGAAGCAGTGATTCTCAATTGCGGGCAGTTTTGTCCCTCAGGGAACATTTGGCAATGTCCAGAGACATTTTTGGTTGTCACAGCTGGTGCTCATGGCATGTGGTGGGTAGAAGCCAGGGATGCTGCTAAGCATCTTCCAGTGCACAGGATAGCCTTCCACAACAAAGAACCACCAGGCCTGAAATATTGATCCTGCTGCTGTTGAGAAAGCCTGGTCTAAAGTTTGACAGAGGGACACACGAAACCAAAAAAGATAATGACAGAAGAAGCAAGACTAAAGGAAGACAAAAAAATGGAAGCTGTGGTTTACTAAGTGCCTGCTGCAAACACTGTGCTAGGTTTTCCACGTACTCTTATTCAGTCTTCTCAACAATCCTTAAAGGTGAATATTACAGGCATTTTTACAAATGAGGAACTCCCGTCCAGAGGTGTTGGGTAGCTGCCCAATATCACACAGCTAGTAAGTAGTAGAGTTGGAAGAACAGCCAGCACTTTTCCCTCCAGTAACATCACCTTGGTATTCCATAGCAGGGCTTCTGCATGGTTCCCTCCCTTCCCTGAAAGCTCTTGTCATTTAACTTGCTGGAGACCATTTAGTTTCATGATTGATACTAGCAGACCTAGCAAAGGTTAGACCTTGTTCCTGCCTTGTCACTCTTAGAGCCCTTGTGAAGGAATGCATTTAAAACAAGAAAAATAAACACATATGACTATCTGAATTAACAGTAATGATCTATCAGACCCTCAGAGCAGAGTGTGTTGAAAAGGAATAAAGGCTGAAGGGAATTTTCTTCATCTTTTCCTAAGGGAGCTTTCTGGAGGACTTAGCATTTCAGATGAGGATATGCCTGGCAGGATGGGCATCCTTATAGGTAAAAGCTTTGAGAGAGGAGTGAGCAAATTGGGGCCTTTAAAGAATTCAAAAGACATAGTCCAGGGACTTCCCTGGTGGCGCAGTGGTTAGGACTGTTCCAAGTGCAGGGGGCCTGGGTTCGATCCCAGGCCAGGGAACTAGATCTCACATGCATGCTGCAACCAAGAGTTCACATGCCACAACTAAGGGGCCCACGTGCCTCAACTAAGGAGCTGGCGAGCCGCAACTAAGGAGCCCGACTGCTGCAACTAAGACCCAGTGCAACCAAATAAATAAATAAATATTAAAAAAAAAAAAAAAAGACGTAGTCCAGAGTAACCTGCTAGTGGAAGGAGATTTTTATGTAGCAGTAAGACTCCTCATTTGAAGGATAGTGCAGAGGGACATTCCCTCAGAGGTCCAAGGGAAAAGGAAAGGGTAGGTGATGAGAGAATCAGAAAACTTTAGTGGCAGAATTAAAGATGAACAGAAGGGAGCAGAGCTTGAGCAAGGAAGGAGTTTGAGAAAAGTAGTCAATGGCCATACTTCCCAAACATGCGCTCTACTCCCTGACCCTACATAAGATTGTTGGTGCTGCCGTTTAGCCACCTTGCCATTCGGTTACTCCGTCCCTTCATACTCTACTTGGGACTTGGTTTCCATGGATCCTTTCCAAGAAGGACCTTGGTCCCTGGGCACTTCCTGCAGCAGTGCCCTCCACTCCTCATCATTCTGCTCTCCTCACTTCCTCCTTTACTAAACAGCTGGGTCTTTATCCCGCTGCAGTTCACTGTGTCTGTGTTTATGTGGCCATTGAGGTCTTTTTGCGTTCACTGCAATCTCACCTCGATGCTGTTTGCTCTAGACTTACACTTCAGTTATCTTGGACTCCATCCTAGGTGAGTATTTACTGAAGTACTCAAAGGACCTCTTACGAGGCATGGCCTTTGTTAGAGTGAGATTCCCTTGCTTGGTTTAGTTCTCTTTTCTCCTCTAGGGCAAAGACTGTGTGTCCTAGTAGGCTGGAGCTCTCCATATTGGGTGGAGCCCGGCTGTACACTCCATGGGTACTCAGCAAATGTGTTGCCTCCTGTGGCACAGATTATTTGATGTGTATGAGAAGTGCCTATCTTAGAAGATTTTGGCCCTTCATTCTAGTTTAGGAAACTGCCTCGTATCTTTCCTTGGTTTACTTGATACAGCCATATCTCAGAACGCAAGAGCAATTCCATCTTTTCCTAAACAAGTTTTCAGTTAGGGACTAACAGTTTTTTAGTCCAGCTTTTCTTAGCCACCCCTACTTCTCTTGAATGGAGAGGAGGCCAGGAACAAATGGATATCAGGTTTTGTTTGGTTTTGACATGTTTTTGTATGCATGCTGAAAAGCAATACTATTTTGATTCCTAACTCCTGTTTTGAGAGACTTGAAATCTCCTAGGGCCTCTTCAGGCTCCGGTGGGCCCTCTGCCCCTGCACTGAGACACCGCCCTAACCAATCTCTGTCCTGTATGAGTTCTCCAGTCATTCCTTCTCATTTGACAAATTGTCTCTATTAGATAAGCATCTGCCTATTGTTTTACCCACTGACTTACAGTGAGATGATTCACTGGCTCAGAGTTGCTGTGTGGGGAGCTCATTAACAGTGGAGCTTGCTACAGGGCTTTGATCTCTCTTCCAGGGGCCAATGGAATGACTTCAGGGTTTGGTTCTTTGCCGGGAGTGATGTGTGTTTTGCTAGACTTGTTTACTTGATGGTTAGGACCCAAGTGCCTCCACCTAGAGGGGAAGCACATGTTTGTCCGCTTCATTTCAGGGCACTGTTCTCACGCTGACTTCAGTGGTACCAGGGTGGGCCTCTTCTTTTGTTTCCTATCCGGATTCTTAAAAACTCGCCCCCCACCTGTTGTTGCTCAGATTGGGTCACCCTCCGTCCCTCTTCCAACTTGGTTTTTGCAAATTTGCAAAGTTTCCAGGGTGCCTGGCAGCCCTGCTGGGCTAGGGCTGCGTCCTTCTGCCTCCCTACTTCTGTAGATGACACAGTGCAGTGACCATCTCCCTGCAGCTGTGCTGGCCACCAGACTGAGTACCAGTTTGAGTCTCACCCACATCCCATTTAGGCTGGTCTCTCTTCGAAACAAGTTGATCTGTGCGGTGACACATTTTCTCTTAGGGAGAGAAACCTAGTTTGTCTTTGAATTGATTAGTATACAGTGTTCTCTGGAGAAAGCCTCGGGGCTTTTCTCTGGCCATTGTTACTCCTTTGTGTGTGTGCAGTTGAAGTTGAGAGGCTCTCAGGTTGGTTGGTTGAAGTAATGAGTCTTTATGAATGGCCTTGCCCAGAAAACAAACGGGGGGACAATTCCAGGCAATCTGTGTCCAGTTTGGTGTCAGTCACAAAGCTCAGTGATCACAGGTGCTGCTGTGGGCCTCCGGGTGGGTTAGAATTGCCTCACTTTTTTTTCTTAGACATTTTCGTTCTCTTTTTACTGTTTATTTTTTATTGCAAAGGCAGTACATGTTTATTTTAGAAACTTCAGAAAATCACCTCCTCCCATCCCTGAGGGAAAACCAGGATTACCATTTAGGTGCATAGCTGTAGAGGTCTGTGAGCTTCCTGTAATCCATGTCTAATTGTGTGTACACTTACAGACATGTTTCCAGGGCAAGGTCCGTAACTTTCATTAGATTCACAAAGTTAACCTTAGGCTCTTTCTAATCTGGCTAGGGCTGAGTAGAACTGATTGTGGTAGCCAAGCTACTGTTAAAATATGGTTTTACTATTTGGAGAGACAGTTTGAAGCCTAGTATGTGCACTCATGTTTTCTCTTACAGTAGTTAGCAGTCAGAAGGGCATTATGAGAAGTATTTTGCTCCCTAGCCTTTATGGAGCATCTGCAGTATGCCAGTTCCTATGCTAAAAGCCATGGCTTCTTCTCTAAAGAAACTGGGAGACCAAGGAGAATCTCCAAGAACTTTCTCTTTGATTCTATTTGCCGAATGTGGGTTATTAGCTTGGTTCTTCCTTTGGATATTGTTGAAGTTGTCTTTCTGCATCCTGGTTAAGTAAGAGGAAATATGTACAGCCTGGCTTGCGTGCCTGTGTGCGTGCGACTTAATTGTCTTGCCCTCGGGTTCTCTTCTGACTGCCTCAGTGAAGAGCTGAGGGAGGCCCTCTCAGTGTGGAACTGCAGCACTCTCTGCAGTTCTGCCTGGACCCCATATCTGCAGGCCCCTCATTCCCACCTCTCCCATCACCCCTCTCCAGTGTGGATAACAAAATGCACCCCTGCAGGGAGAGGAGAGGATTCGACTCACAGAGCTGCCCTTGTACAGCTTTAACACAAGGCTCTCAGGATGTTTTAGGAGTGAACTGGTCTCATTACCTATCCACCATGGGACCCCTGGAGCAGTGTTAGTTCGGTGCTGTGTCTTAGATTGTAAACTCGTCAAGGTCAGGAACCATATTTGTCTGGTTCTCCTCATGAAAGAACATATGCGATGGGTATTTTTGAAGGTCTTTTAGCGGCTTCTGCCCACTTCCCACCCCCCACCTTCAACCCTCAACTCTTAGGCCATTGTTGCTAGCCACAGTAGGGCAAGGTCTTGCCAAGTACCTTGGATGGAACCAAGATGAATCTCAGCTTAGAAAGGCAGAAACAGTGTGGAGACCCTTAATCCCTGACAGGTGATATGACGTGGGCATCTGGGCTTGCCCCCGCCCAGCCTCCAGGGCACAGAGCCTTGGCACTGGGAGGTGAACCCTGCACACTTCCTTTTCCAGGTCAGGGCTGTGGGAGAGTGCAAAGAGAGGGCTCCGTTTTTCTGCATGTGTAGAGTTTGAGCTGTTACTTGAAACTCCCTGTTCCTTATTAAATGGCTGACCTAGTTTTTCCCCTTTATCTCTGTAGTGGTGGAGATCCAAGCAGGGAAGACAACTATAGTAAGTATCGTCGAGTTGGCCACTTCTAACATCGTTAATGCTTGGAGCTGCCTGGCTGCTCCTCTGAGGGAGGGTGGGAGGCCCCAACTGGACTCCTGGCTTCAGGATCTGCTCCCTCTGTGACCATAAATCCCACAGTCTACTATTTTCAACCTGTGTGTGAGAGTGTGGTTAATCAGGAACAGTTGCTGTGCCTGGACTAAGACATCTGTTACTTGATTAAAGTGACCCTTTGTATGACAAGAGCTCATAAGTATTTGCTGATATGTTCTTTTGCAGGTGATAAGTCAGTTTTCCAAAGGGGAAAACTAAGGTAATGACAAGACTAGAGAGAGTAGACCCCGGGCGAGGAGCCTGGATCTTTCCTTTCTGCCTAGAATGACTAAGCTACTACTCCTTCAGTGATGTAGTTAGAAGGTGACACTCTCTGGGCCCTGGGCTCGTAGCTGGCACCCTGTCTTCTCTGTTGGTGAGAAAGCTAGCACAGTTCTTCACCCACCTACTCCCCCCCTCCCTCACTGGGCCCATCTCACCTCCCTTCCTCTGGGAGTCATGGGGCCTAGATTATCCTATAATCCCTAAAAGACAAACGTTGTTTTCACATGGCCTTCCACGCCTCCAAGAAATCCTCAACCACTCCACCGAGTTCCCAGAAGCCTCTGTAGCTTCCATGTCAACCAGGGATTTAACCCTCTGGCAGCCAGTCAAGATCAGTCCTCCCTAAGGCCTTCTTATCCCCAGGACAAGCCTTAGGGTTCCCTCTTTGGGTCTTCCCCAGAACACTCCCTCAGCCTTTTCACTGCTTAGCCTCAAAACAGTTCTTTCTAGGGGGATCCCATTCCCTTAGGGCACCTTTTTTGGTCCCCTTATCTAAAGCCAAAACAGGTATTCACCCTTTAAACTCCATGCTGGTGGAGAGAAGCACATCTGGCTTTTGAGTGTGAAGAGTGTTTTTCCTGTGGGGCATGAATTTGCTATTTGTGGAATGAACACAGAAGTATGTGGCCCCATGAGAGCCCTCGGGGGAGGTAACCCAGCCATGCCTGGAGAGGCGCTGCCATGGCTGACTTTGGGTATTACTCTCCAGGGTCTCACTTTCTTCATCAGTAAAATAAGATCATGATTCCACCCTCACTAGGTTGTGGGGTTAAATGAGATGATACATGTGGACCATTATTAGCACAGAGCCAGGCCTATAGTGGGGAGTCAATAAGTGTTAGCTCTCCCCCACCAGGCCCACCTTGACGCCCTCCCAAGTCCTTCCATGTGCCTGCACATTTTCCCTAGCGCACCTCTCCCTTTCTGGCATAGCTGTGGTGGCCTTGGCAGAAGGGTAGTAACAGCACCCTGCACGGCCAAGCCTTGCTTCTGGCCCCCTTTGCCTTCTGCCAGTTCTTCCCTGGGAGACAGTGTTGCTTCCCTCCCAGAGTCTCTCAGACCTGTCCCAACATCACACAATCTGTGGCCTCAATCAGCAAGGCTTTCTAAACTTCCCTTCTTGCAATTGGAGCTGATGCCCAGATCATTGGTTTATTGAGCTTAGTAATTCCAAGGCTGTGTCACAGGATACAGCAGCCATGGAGGAGGTCACTTCACATGTGGCCTCAGCATGGTTTGAAAGGTGGCATCCAGAGTGATAAGAGGAGGAGGGCAGGGGAATGTACCCTCCCCTCTGTGTTTTTAGAGAGAGCGGGGAGGAGGAAGAGCGCACACAGTTGTCTGCTCGTATAGGCCTAGACCAGCTTTCCCAGCCTGGCGCTGCTGCCGTTTTAGACTGGCTGGTTCTGTGTTGTGAGTGAGGGCTGTCCTGTGCATGTAGGGTGGTTAGCACCTTCCCTGCTAGAGGCCAGTAGCACTCCATCCCCCCGTGCGGATGATCAGAAACGTCTCAGACATTGTCCAGTGTCCCCTGGACCCTGTTTTTAGGCAACCCTGCCTGGTTGAGAACCACTGGCAAAAACTTACCTCTGTCAGATAAAACTGGAAACTGTAGTTTCCTCTGAGAAGGACATGCAGGATGGGAGGGAGACTTCCTTTGGACTCCACATCCCTGCACAGTTTGAAACTTTTTACCATGTGCATTTATTACTTTTTCCCAAAGGAGAGAGAGGGAAGCATAATGTTCTGGAGTTTTTTGTCTTTTTGAGGAAGGAAAGGTAGCATTCAGCTGATAGAGCAAACCCCTCCCTCTTGCCACCAGCATTAAGTTCAGTTTCTACTACCCTTGCAGACCATCAAACCCATCTCTGTGGCTACTCCAAGGTCCATTGTCCAGCAGCTATGGAATCAGCACCACAGTTCAGGCAGAGAGACCTGTTGTTAGCTACTCGCCTGAGGCCCCCAGAGATGAAGTCTCACCAGCTCTCCTACCACTCGGGGGGTTGTTTGAGGATGAGAGGCTCTGCACAGCCCTCTCCCTCACAGGCTCTCTTTCTCTGCCTTCTAGATTGAAGGCCGAATCACAGGGACTCCCAAGGAAAGTCCAAATCCCCCCAACCCCTCCGGCCAGTGCCCCATCTGCCGCTGGAACCTGAAACACAAGTATAACTACGAGGTGAGTCTGGGCACAGACACACATGTCTGCGCGTATTGGAGCTCGTGTTCCCTGTGGGCTTAAGCAGCATCTCATGGAACCACCAAGACAGAAGCATTTTGTCCAATTTTAAAAATGCTCAGGCTCCACCTCCAGATGATTCTGTTGGCCTGGGGTGGAGCCCAGTGATCATTAATTTTTAAAGCTCCCCAGGTGATTCTAATGTGTAGCGAGGGTGGAGAGTCACTGACTTAGTTCGTGGTCTGGTTGCGGTCGATTCAGACCACCAGGGCCCTGGAGCCCAGTCTCATAGGGCTGTGTTCCCAGGGCGGTGGAATCAGAATCTGAGCTTGGCTTTCCTCCTTTTATAATGAGGGTATCTCTGGAGAGTCCTTACTGTGATCTGGGGATACATCATTCTCTTTCCATATTGGAGCTACAATTGGAGCGCTGTTTGCTGTAGGTCTTCTAGAGCTGTTGTTTCACAGAGAGATGACAAGAGTGAACAACAATAGGTGAGTTGCACAGGGTGCTGCTCTGTGTGTAAGCACCTATGGGGCATAATTCACTTAGTTTTCACAATATCCCTGTGAAGTAGGTACTATTTTCATCCTTGTTTTACAGATGAGGAAATTTGAGGCATGAACTTGTTAATGAGCAAGTTAATGAACTTGCCTCAGATCACCCAGCTAGCACACTCTGGGGCTACAAAACCCAGGCAGAGCCTACGATCCCAGCTACTACTCTATATCATGTCTAGAGATGGGGCGGACCTGGGGGAAAGGACGCAGCCCTGGAGAAATCCATACTTGTCCTTCAGCATTCTATTGGTGACATTAAGCAACCCTGTTTTTAGGTTTCAGGTGATTCGGACTCTGGGCCAGTTTGACCTGCAGGTTGTCCCTGTGCCCCTCTGTGGAATGGGATGACTAAGGGCAGAGATCCCGGTCAGGTGGTCAGAGCAGGAGAGGCCACATGTCCACGGGATCTGAACAGAATGACCCAACTAATCCCCTGGGCTGGGAGCCTTGGCTTCAGGCCACCTCGGGGTGGGGGTGGGGGTATTCTTTTGACCTGTCCCGGCCCTTCCGCTGATGGCCACCTGGAGTAACAGGGAACTTGCAGGCCACGGGGCACTGCTCTCAGCTTCTTGTGACATGGAAGTTAGTGGGGTCCTGGCCATACTTAGAATCCCAGCTGTGAATAGAGAGGTGAACCCCACACCTGCCTGATCACCATGGGGCACTCTTCCTACGAGCCATTTCCAGGAAATGGACTTGGCTTTGTTTATCAAGCAGAAGAAATCCAGTCCCTTCCAAGGTAAGGGCTGAAGTTGTTTTCCTTTTACTCCTTTCTGCTCAGGGCACTGCCACTTTGAGCTGCACAAAGCTGTCAGCCTTCTTGGCAGCCGGCAGTGGGGGCATGGGGCTGTGAGACCAGTGTATTATCCCTGGATAATCCAATCCAAGTTCTTTTCATCAGATTCTGGAGATTACAGGGGTGGCATTTGGGGGCCTGGGTCCCCCAGGAGCTTTCCAGTGATTAAAACAAACCTGCCGTTACACAGCGAGGCACCTGCCAGGGCAGCGAGTCAGTTTGAGGACCAGGACCATGGAGACAGGCATATGCCAGGCCCCTCGGGTCGGGTGGGCGACTTTTCTTTAACCCTCTCAGCCATCCTGTGAGAGTTGGGAGGGGACGTGGTCTCTCTTGATTCTAATTCTTAATTCTTGACTCTCTCCTTGACTCATCCAAAGCAGTCTGATGGGTCAAAGGAAGCCCAAGAATACATTTACATCTGGTCACAGGGGGCTTAGAAGATGTGGGATTTAACCTTGCAACCTGGCCCCATCCTCAGCTCGTTGCTGCCTGGGGCTTCAGAGGGCACAGCACAAGGTCGAGGGGCTCTCTGTGGGTCTTCTGGGCTGTGGCATGTAGACTCTGGGGGCGGAAATGGTACAGGTTTTCCCTGTTGTTCAGAAGTACATGACATACCCCCACCCCACCCGAGGAGGAGAACACACCTTCCATCACCAGGAAAGATACCGTGGGTGCATGAAAGCTTGTTAACCTTGAAGAGTTCCTGTCCTCTAACCTAGGCTATCGGAAGACTTATCTCATGGAGGAGCTGAGAGGACTCTTGGGGTTGGTAATGGGGTCAGGAAATCTTGCTAAGTTGGGATTGAACCTTTGTTAGGGTGGAGATAGCAGGCCCGTGTGCAGAGCTCTGTGGGGAGGGAGTGGCCTCAGGTCTGTTCCGGGGGAGCCTCAGCCTCTGGCAGTGCCAGGGTACAGCAGCCTCCCCTGGAGGCCACTCAGCCCTGGCTCCCCAGCAGCAAGTGCCTGTCCAGAGCACCCTCATCTCCTGTTTTCCGTTTCCACTAGGATGTTCTGCTGCTCAGTCAGTTCATCCGGCCACACGGGGGCATGCTGCCCCGAAGGGTCACAGGCCTGTGCCAGGAAGAGCACCGCAAGATTGAGGAGTGTGTGAAGATGGCCCACCGAGCAGGTAGAAAGCACCTTGGGCTAAGAGGGGCAGAAGCGGGCTGTGGGCACCATTTCCACCCTCCAGCTGCCCTGTGTTCCAGCCCCTCCTGAAAGGGCAGTGGGTATCCAGAGGCTTCATTATACTCACCCACCAGTGCCAACCTCCCACCCCCTTGGGCTTTCCCTCCAGCCCCCAAGAGCTACACAGGGAGATGCAGAGACCATCCCCTTAAATGCTTTTCTCTCCACTCAGGTCTGCTCCCAAATCACAGGCCTAAGCTTCCCGAAGGATTTGTTCCAAAGAGCAAACCGCGACTCAACAGGTAAGCAGGTAACCTGGGCTGGGGAGGCTCTCTCCTGGAGCTCGTTCCACAGTTCAGGAAAGCTGGAGCATTCCGTCCCTTCCAGCCTGAGCACCCACCCCATCAGTCCGACCACTGTGTATGCTTCTGTTACCCTCCCCTGCCGGCCTCAGCCTCTTTCCTTGTCCCTCCCCAGTAGGGCACTTAGCACAGAGGTAAGAAGGGTAAGAAGGTCGTTGGACATTAGAATGTGCTAATCTTCTGTTTATGACATCATACTGAGTTGCTATGGGAATGTCAGAGCACTTCTGCAAACTTTCAGTAATAGCACTGGGGTTATTAAAGGGCAAAATGAGGCCTTAGAAATAGAAATGGGAAGGCTGTCTGGGGCAGGGCCACTGTACATAGCTGCGCAAATCGTACACTGCAAAACTTTAAAGCAGCATCCAGGTAGACTAGATTGTGAATGGTGCTCCCTAGAGTTGTGCAGTTAACGACCTGCACAGCTGCACATGGCATCCCATGAGGTCCTGAGGTTTTATAGAGGAGGAGAGGAAGTCCCCTAGGCCCTAGAATCAGTCAGTCTGCCTTTCAGCCTAAGCAGGGTGGCCCCCTCTGGTGTAGAAATAGATTCCTGTCTAACACTTAAACAGCTGTCTCTGACATTACCACACTCACATACTCCTAGAACTATAATACCCCCTTGTTGAGAGTAGATCCAGGTCTGTAAACTCGATGTTGGTATTTCTTCTTGTTCTCCCGTATCGTATCAGTAAACCCCCTGCCTTCAGCCTGTCCCACTGCCACTGGAATTACACTCTGTGGTTAAAGCAAAGCAAGATACCCCACCCCCAGCAAATCTCCTAGACTGATCCCCAACAGAACCCAGGCATGGAGGATGAGAGGCCAGGCAGATACAGCCATGGATTGCTGGGCTGGGGGTGCAGCTGGGTCTTCACTGACGCCTCGCCAACACCCTGGCCCCTTGCCCATCTCCACCTGCACCTCCCACACTGCTAGCTGGGCCATCTGCCAGCAGCCCCGGAGGAACGGGACATATTAACCTCTTCCTGTCTTTCCCAAATGTGCCGTGGACCTTTTGGGGGTTGAGCCCACCCCTACCCTGACTCGTTAAGAGACAAGCAGCAGGCCTAAGGACACAATCCATCCTTCCCTCAGGCCTTTGAAGCAAAGCCAGGCTCCCTCCCATATATCCGGTGTCCTTTAACGTGACACAGGATTGATGATGCGTGGCGGCTCTTGGGTTGCAAAGGCCACCCTGGGGAGGAGAGGGAGTCCTGGCTACATGGGAGGCTGATTCCTTACAAGGGACTGTATGATTCCATCCAGAGGTCCTTGAGCTGCCATGCACCGGCCCAGGCTGTGCCGGGCCCCGGGGAGCCATGCGTCCTCCTTCCCCACTCCTTCAGGAGAGGTAGGAGGAAGGAGCCTTGGTTCTTCTTAGAGCTGGAGTGTTACCAGAGAGCCGTCCGGAGGACCTCAGCCCCCTCCCCTGCCAGCTGGCTGCTCCTTGTGGCACAAGCATCAGGCCCAGGGCCAGCTGAATCCCAGCTTCCCTGGGGTCTCTCCAGGGTGGGAGGGGCAGGGAGCCTTTAGGGCAGCAACTATAGAGAGCCTGGTGAGCCTCGGGATCTGGGGTCTTCAAACCCAAGGAGCAACCCTTTGGGGGAGGCTGCTCCCACACCCCACCTCTTCACCCACCCTTCTGAAGCCTGGGAAATGCCAGCACAGGGGCCTGCCAGGTCCCAGCACCACCAAAGGCATCCCTGGGGCCAGCCCACTGCACAGAGGCCTCCCTGCTGGGGCACTGACAGCCACAGTGGACATGGGGCAGCCCTCTCCTGCTGGCCCACCTCGCACGTGGCATGGAGGCCAATACCACCCACAGCTTTTACTTCCTCTCAAAGCTCAGAGCAGAAGACACAGGTCCAGGGAAGCTCAGTTGAAATGTATAAATCAGCAGTCATTTTTTCACTCTTAGCTAAAAATTTTCAGCCATGGTTATTAATTTTTTTAATTAAAACCTCTCATTTGAGGGTCTCTAGAGGCGGCTGGGTTGAGCCCTAACCTAGTGTGGAAGCAGGGGAGGATCCTGGCCTTTGCCATGGCTGAGCTTTCAGGACGAAGGGTGGGCCTCTCTGGACAGGATCCAAGTTTCGTTCTGGACGGAGTAAACCCCAGTCCCAGCCGGCATGAGCCACTTTTCCGGGAACTATCAGGGCCTTGCTGCCATCCCCAAAGGAGGCAAAAGGACTATGGGTGGCAGCCATCTTTCCCCACCCCACCCCCTCCTGCTTACAAGAACCTTCCTGGCCCCCATCATGGGTTGGGTGAGGGGCAGGGATCCTCTACGAGTTATGGCTGCCTAGGCTTGTTCCCTGAAGGCTGGGGTGGCAGAGTAAGCCAAGTGGGGGAGAGGGAAGGATTCCTCCAGGCCCTTACATCAGCCTCTCCTCTCCCCGTGACTGGGCCACAGAGGGATGATCTGCTCTCTGAGCAGCCTCTTCCTCCACCTCCTCCCCCAGCAAATACACACAAACACTGACGACTCATAAAGATCCAGGAAGCGTGTGGCCTTGTGCTGCCTGACCCTGGCCACACACACCTGCGGCAGCAGGAGCCCAGCCCATCTGTTTACAGCATATTCAGCAGTTGCTCCCAGGAAAAGCCCTTCTCCTCAAGCAAGGAAAGCTGGTGAAAGGGTTTGGTTGGCCAGGTGCGGCTTGGGCCTGAGGCCATGCCCACGGTGCCGCAGCCGCCTCTCGCCCTCGCTCCGCAGGTACCTCACCCGCTGGTCTCCCCGCTCCGCCAAGCCCATCTACAACAGAGGCCACCGCTGGAACAAGGTGCGCATGGCTGTGGGGTCCCCCCTCCTGAAGGACAACGTCTCCTACGCGATCAGGCCTTTGGTGCTGTATCACTGAGAGCACGGCCTCCCGAGAGCCAGCCCTGAGCTCATCCTGCACTCCCACCCCATCCCACCAGGGTGGCCCGGCTCCTCCAACGTGGATGGCACGAGGCCTAGTAGGTCCAACACCAGTGCCCTGGGCCTGCTCTGCAACAGAGCTGGGCGCTGGGTGCAGGTGGGGCAGTCGAGTCCCCAGGCAGCTGCTGTGGTCTCATGACTGGCCTGGGCTCGTTGCTGGTCGACAGGAGCTTTGCCCACAGGAATGTTATAAACCAGGCTTGTACTCACCCACTGGGTGTGTGCCCACTGCTTGGGAAGTGCGGGGGGCTCGACCCGTTTCCCGCCAGTTACCGAGCATTGAGTCACTGATCTCTTGTGATAGGCCACGTGAATGCAACAGGGGAGTTCACGGGCCAAACAGGTTCCCTTCCTCTCTATTGACAGCTGTTAGCTTTTTGGCCAGGGGGCCTGCAAGGAGGAGGTAAAGTTAGGCTGCCTGGCCCATGTGCAGCTCTCATCTGAGTCCAAGAAGCTGCCCTCCTCAGAGGGCTCCTGGCTGTCACCTCCCCCCAGGCCATTTCCTCCCACCTTTCTCTCTCGTTAGCACATTCCAACCCTCTGCCACTTGCTCTATTTGAGCTGGGCCTCTCCTCAGCCTGGACACCAGATGGAGGTGGAGATGAGGGGAGGCAGCAGCACAGAACAAACAGACCAAATTCACTGGACTTTATGAAAATACTGTTTAGACTCTCCAGACTCCCCAGGCAGCCTTCCTACAGCATGAATGGCAGGTCGATGTTCTTCTCGCCAGTGCCCACGTAGATGTAGCCATAGTTCTTGGTGCGAGGAGCGTGGTAGAAGGTGAGACCTGGCCAGAGCAGGCTGCGCAGCACCACCAGGGTGTTGCCTCTCTCCATCTGGATGCTCCAGGACCCTGAGGAGGAGCAGGAGGCAAGGCCTGGGCACTGTGGAGGCAGAGCCCTGCTGGCCATGCAGAGGCCCCAGGCTCCGGGCAGCCAGGCCCGAGCATTAAGGTCCAGTGAGAAAGGGGAAGACAGTTTAATTATCCCGGCACTTTACTCCTTCTGATTGCCTTGGAGCCGTTTCACTGCTCATTAAAACCACTTCCAGAGGGAGGGCAAAGGAAATGAAAAGAGGTAAAACTCAAAGCAGTCCGTTTTGTTCCTGTCAGCAAGTCTAGTGAAAGGTTGCGTGGGGGAGGAAGCTGAATCCACAGTGCACAGGCAGAGGGGAGCTGGGGCTGGGCTAGGAGAGGCTCCAGTCTCCCTCTCACCCTGCGCTAGGGGTGCTCACTGGTGGCCTTCAGTCCTGGTGCGCTTCACTGCTGTTTGCCATTTGCTCTCTCTTCCCCAGGCCAGAAGCCTCTGCTCTGAGATGGATGAGACCTGACCAGGCTCACATAGAAGTGGGGCCGTTTCAGGCCTCCCAGCTCAGTAGCCCTTTCTGGCAGCCGGTAGACTGGGAGCCATCCTTGGCGGTAGGGTACTTGAGCTGCAACTAATAAGCCTTTGTCTGTCCTGGGTTCTGCCCTGGTTTTTGCTCCCCAGACGGGAGCAGCCCAGCCTGGGGCTGAGCTGTGCAGCCGTGAGGACTTGGCGGGAAGGGCCTGATCCAGCTCCAGAACCGAGGGAGGGAGCCGTTGTGTGGGAGGAAGGAGCCTGGGAAAATCGCCTCTGGATGCAGATCTGGAACTTCTATTCCCCTGCGCACTGAGGCCTCTCCCGGCCCAGCCGCAGCTCTGCTCCAGGCCCTGCCAGAAAGGCAAATGCTTTGAAGGTTTTGGTGCTGGACCAGCCAGTGATGCGCTGAGAACTGCGCCTAGGCCTTCATCAGCTGCCAGGTCAGCCCGGCTGCCCAGCTTCCACTGCCCCTCTGCCCCCAGGCCTCCTCCAGCCACAGCCCACCATGGTCACTCCACACCCAGCAGCCTCGGAGCTCAGGTCCCACCCTCCCACCCTGAATCCAAGAGACCTGACCACCAGGCACCCCTGGCTCTGATGGCAGCTCAGCCCTACTCAGGGTGCCAGCACCTGCCCAGGTCAAAGCCAGAGCTTTTGGGGGGGGTGTAGGTCAGCTGGCCTTGGGCTGCTTAGGGAGAGGCCACCTGGAGGCCACCTCAGCACTGTGCAGTGGCATGCACCGAGTGCCACCACCCATGCGTGAGATGATGAAGCAGGAGGCAGGCCCACTCGGTGCTGGCCAGGCAGCACTAAGAAGAAAGGTGTTCCCGGGTTCCCAGAGCTCTGGGTGGGGCACTGCCTAGGTTGGGAATAGGGGCAGTATCGGGAATGGGGGCAGTATCTTTCCTGGTCAGAGAAGTGGAGAGTATTTCCCCTAGCTCACAGCTTTCCTCTGCATATCTCCACCTCAGACCTGCCCGCAGAGTTCTAGAGGCCTTAAAGGCCTGTTGCTTTCCCAGTCACTCGTTTCAGAAAACAGATGGCCTAGGGGTAACCGGAGAGGGGGTGTGACAGAACAAAGTGTTCCCAGTGCACTTCATTCAGCGTCTGGCCAGAAGCACAGGCCCCCCCAGAAGACAGCCCCTGTTAGCCCCCCCCTGCCAGTTCCCAGAGCATCGTCTGGGGTGTCCCTCCCCGCCCTTGGAGACCAGGGCCACACAGCCCCCCTTGAACTGAAAAAGGTCAGGCTCTGCCCACCTAGGGAGGGCAGCTTGCAGCCAGATGTTGCCCTGGAGAAAGAACTGGAATCCTGGAGTCCCCCGGCCCAGACCACAGTCAGCAGTTCCCTGTTGCTGGCGCCTTGGCACACCCTGGGCGAGGGCTGGGTCCTAGCCTTCCCTGGCACCAGCCTGCCCACCTAGGGTTTGGCCACCAGGGGGCCCAGGCTCATCAGCAGGGGCTCTCCCCACCCCACCCAAGAGCAAAGAGAAACTGATGGGGATGCTAGAGAAATACATTGCTGCCTCCAGGGTGGGGGCCGGTGCTGAGCAGGCCCAGGGTGCTGGCCGAGTACAGGAGCGGCATGTGAAGTGGCCGGCCAGCCAATGACACCACCTCCTCCCTCCCTTGCATTCCTGTCACACTCCTTTCCTTGTCCCTGGCGCAGCTTGTCGCCCAGGAAACACACACTCAACATGCCAGGAGTCACGTAGTGTCTACCTGGGAAGCCAGGCGCTTGCTGTCACCTTCACCCGCTTTTCTCACGGCACCTGCTGGAAAGGCTGGGCCCAGCCAGCCCCCACTTGTGGGACTCCAGGGAAAGCAGCCTCCTGCAGCCCTGGTGTTTCCATTCACAGCCCCTGGTCTCTCCCGTCTCCCCAGACCTCCCTTCCGGTCCCCTGGCAACCACTCTTCTCCACAAGCGCTCCTCTTCGAGGGTGTGGTGGGAGGGATATAAGCTGGTAAATCAGGAATGGGGCCTCCTGCATCAGGAGGAAGATCCAGGGCCTCACCCGCCTTGCCAATATGGAAACCTCAGGCTGGGGTAGGCTCATCATAGTTATATTCTCCTGCCCGCCAGGAAGGAAGGCAGCAAAGCTCTGAGATTAAGTTTGAGGAGTAGAGTGTACCGGGCTGGGGTTCAGGGCTGTCCAGGGGCAGCAGATGGCTTAAACCGGTCCTCAGACCAGCACCACACAACTTGTCACACACACAGAAATGGCCATGGGCCCCTTCTCAGAGCAGCCACTCCCGCCACCCCAGGGCCACAGTGCATGGGAAGGGGGTGGGGAACCAGGCGGAAGTGTTCCCAGTCTTATTGATGAGCAAGGCCAGGACCCCCGGTCCAGAAGACCGAGCACCTGTCACCCAGGCTTCCACAGGGCTGGAAGGGAGGTGCCACCTGCACATCCCCCAAGAGAAGGCTGATCCCGGACACCGTGTTCCCCAGCCCTCTTCAATGCTGTTCCCCTGGTGCCCCGCTGCTTTCCAGGGAAGCAGGCCCCTTGCTGCCCTCTGCTGCCTGAACTGGGCATTGTGCTGGAGCCTCAGCGGCCCTGTGCTGAGCAGTTCCTGAGACCTGTCAGCTCTGGCCCAGAGTGGAGCAAGGAGAGGCGCTCTGCCCTCTACCCAGCTCGCTCTGCTTCCCAGGACACCTATGACTTCGCTTGTGAGGCACCTTCTATTTTACTTTTCTGTTTCATTTGATCTTCCCAAACCTCTGTGAGGCAAAGATGGTGTCTTGTTCCCAACGGCGTCTCTGGTGCCTGGTACATAGTAGCTGCTCAGTGGCTATTATTTGCTGATAGAGTGGAAGATTAAGGAGCATTGAATGGCAAGAGTACTGCCTAGAAATCTGGCGTCCTGACCTGGTACTTCATGTGTCACCTGACAAGAGCCCAAGCTCAGAGAACTCTTAGCTGTTGCCCTGTATCCACCAGGAGGATGGTTCCACTCCCAAAGCCCTACTCCCACACAACTCCGCAGACCCCAAGGCACAGTTAGGAGGGCATTAGTGGCCCCAGGCAGGGCCAATCTAAGCCATACCTGCTCACAGATGACATGAAGTTCCCCTGAACAATTGCCTCAGACCCAGAAAGGAAACTGATCCTACCTGGGCAGAAAACGCCTCCCAAATTCCACCCCTCCAGCCAGTGCTGGTGTCCCAGGGAACTCTTCCTCGGGGTTTTGGCCTCACTTAGCAGCCCAGCCATTCTGGCTGCTGTCTGCCTGATGGGGCAGCCTCCCAGCCGCTCCTTTTGCTCTTTCACTGGCAGATAGGGAAGGAAGTCTGGGAGCAAAGTCAGAGTGTCTGCTCTCCCCCGACCATCCACACTTTTACCCCCACACCATGGCCCCCATCAAGACATCATGAGAAAAAGCTGGGCCCGACTTCCTGGAGGCTTTCTGGTGTTGGCTCTGGGAGGAAGGGAGCTGGAGGCCCAGAAGCTGTGGAGTTTCCCAAGGTCAGGCCAGGAGCATCCCTCCCCTCAGGCCCACACACACAGGAGATGTCAGGAGCCCTCAGCCCCTAAGGCTCCAGGACTATGGCAAAGTGTGGGGGTGGACTGGGGTGTTGAATCATTGGTTGATGCTTCAGCCCTAACGCCCACCATTAGGGCAAGAAGTCTAGGCTCAAGGGGGAGGAGGCGCTCTTGTGTTAGCCACCCCCCAGTAACCCAGCGCTGTGGAGGGATTGCCTCATCCGTCGGCCCTGGAGCATCCTGCTGCAGGTGAGAAGGCTGAGAAGTCAGCACCGGACAGAGTTTTCCAGCCACATACTGAATCAGGGAGGAGGGGCTGCTGCCACCAGATTAGGGGCTCTAAGAGGACTTTTCTGCATCCACCATTCAGCCCATGGTGCCAGGTCCCACCACCAGTGTTCCTGGCTCCCTGTATCAACCAGGGATGTGCAGCCCCCTCCGGCCTTGCCAGGCAGGGAGCAAAGAATTGGGGAGGTAATGGGAGTCTGGGAAGCATGTCTAGTGGTTGAGAAATGCCCATCCCCAGTATACCTTCTTCGTCTCCCCCAGAGGTCCAGGACCCCCTTTTCTATGCTCAAGGAGGGTTCACTCTGGAGCCTCCATGTGTTGGAGGCCAGAGTAGCCACTCTGCTGGCAGTCCTTACCCACCTGGGACCCACGGCCCAGCCCCTGGGGCACTGCAGTAGCCCTGAAACAGCCTCCAGATCCCTGGCTTTCCCCTTTCCATCCATCCATGCACCACTGCCTTGTTATCACAGACCTGCTCACAAGCCACCAGCAGCTCCTACTGCCTTGGTCTACGCCTCCTACCCCTTGGCCTTCTAGGCTCTCCTAGGCCTGCCCGACCCACCTCTAAGGCCTTTTTGCTACCGACAACAAGATCAGTAATAATTATTAATTTTTACTTGAGTCCTTACTCAGTGTGTTAAGCACTACTGTAAATGTTTTGTATATGTGTTAACTCATTTAATTCTCATAACAACCGAATGAGGTAGGAAGTATTACTCCCCTTTTACAAATTGAGGCACAAGGAAATTGAGGGACTTGCCTGAGGTCACCCAGCTAGTATGCGGCAGATTCAGGATTCCAACGCAGGCTTTCTGGTTCAAGAGCCCTTTCCTTTAACGACTACTGCCGTCCCACCCCTACCCTGAGTTCCAGCCCGACTGGGTTGCTCATTGCTCCTCAGAAGCGTTTCCCCTTAGTGGTGGGGGTGACTATTGTCCTGCCATTCCCAATGTCCACTTAAAATGAAACACCATCTACTTGACACCATAGTTAAGGCCAGAGCCTTGGAGTCTAATGCTCTAACCCTTAACTATGTCCTTGGGTTTAACTCTCTGAGCCTCTCTCTGTTCCTTCATCTATAAAATGGGGGTAATAGTATCTACCTCATAGGTCAGCTGTGAAGATTAAAATGAGATAAGGCATGGGAAGGACAGTACAAAGTCTGGCACACGGTAAGCAGTGTCATTGCTTTTATGAGTAGTTACTAGTATCATTATCTTTGCAATCATCAACAACAGATCCCTCCAGTTCTCAGAACACCAAGCATGGGGAGGGAAAGAAGCAAGGGTGCTGAGTCAGTGCCTTGGGTCTGGCCCCCGAATGCCCAGAGCCTGGCACCTGTCCTGGGATGCAGCATCCAAGCAAGAACATCTTCCAAGGACATGCCCGTCTCTACTGGTGGACCCCAGGAAGGAAATGGGGTCTCTGTGACTCCACCAACTGCTGGCTGTATGCCTGGGCCAGGTGGGACCTGAAGCACAATAAGGCCTCTGGAGACCTCCCTGGTGGCACGGTGGTTAAGAATCCACCTACCAATGCAGGGGACCAGGGTTCGATCCCTGGTCCGAGAAGATCCCACGTGCCGTGGAGCAACTAAACTCATGCACCACATCTACTGAGCCTGCGCTCTAGAGCCCACGAGCCACAACTACTGAGCCCGCACACCTAGAGCCTGTGCTCTGCAGCAAGAGAAACCACCGCAATGAGAAGCCCATGCACCGCAACGGAGAGTAGCCCCCGCTCGCTGCAACTAGAGAAAGACCACACGCAGCAATGAAGACCCAACACAGCCAAATAAATAAATAAATATTTTTTTTAAAAAAGGGCTCTGAAGTTGTATGTTTTATGATTAAAAAGTACAACCACTTAACAGGAGGCAAATGTATAGAACTCATTTCCTTAGCAGGTGACCTCAGCAGGCCGGTCAGCACCCACTCACTGAGCACCAGCTGTGTGCCAAACACTGGATCCAACCCTGAAACTAACCATTGCGATGTATGTATGGCTAGTATTTTCAGGGGTGTTTTCAGAGATGTTTTGGGTCGGGGGGAGATTCCCAATTTGCCTCCATTCAAGATTGGTATGAGAATCAAAAGAAACACTAAGAGACTGCCTGTCTGTGGAAGCACATGGAAGACAATCCTTTCGTCCGCAAACACTTACCAGCTGTTTACTAGGAGCTGAGCCCTGTATTGAGCCCTGGGGAAGCCCCATCCTCAAGGCCCCCACAGTGAACCCCCAGTTCCCACCCAGGCCCTAGGTCCCACTCTTAGAGGAGAATGGCAGGTGGCACGGCCCACTGCTCTGACCTGGGGCAAATCCAATGTCCTCCAAGTAACAGGCTGTTACCTTTGGGGATGTCATGCTCCAAGGAGTCCATGAAGTCCAGGGAGGGGTCCAGGTCAGCCTTCTCAAGCAAGGTCTTGTTCTTCAGCTCAACAGGCTCCCTGAAGTGGAAGTAGGAACTGAGCTTCTTGGCTTCAGACGAGGACAGTCCTACAAAAGGGGCAGCAGGTAGGAAGTGAAGGTCATCCCCAAACCCCACGGTCCCCTTCCTCTATGACTGGGGACCACGTGGAGGGGGTTGCAGAGGAGTCAGTCAGCTACTGACCGGGGACTGAAGGGTGAAAAGGGAGCAGGGTTCTCTCAGCCCGAACTTGGCTCAGATCCTGCAATGAGGACAGACCATGGAGGAGGAGGGGAGGAAAAGGCGGGGAGCCCAGCACCATACAAAACCCCAGACCCAGGTGGCCAGATGCTCCCCCACCCTCAGGCATAAAAGAGTCAGGGTCCAGTGACTGGGTACCCCTGCCAGGCACAGATACCAGGTCATTGGGCACATCCTCCCAAGTGATGTGGCCACAGCTATTCTTTCTCTGAGAAAGTGGGCAGTCTCCCCTGGACTCCCAGGCATGTGTCCAACTATGCTCAGGAAGAGATGCCTTCTGGCCCTAAGAGATGCCTGAGAATTCACCTTCAAAGGTCCGATTGACACGGATGGGTCCAAAAGGGGTCTTAAAGAGGGCACCTCGGGGGATGACAGCCACAGCCTTGTCGATCTGGTCAATGATGGACACCAAGCGGATCTCCTCCTTGACCTGGACCTGAGGAGACAGGAGACAAGCCACCCTGCCAGGGCGCTGTGCCCAGTCACCCCTGGTGCAAGGGCCTCAGCATGACCATCTGATTTGGGTCACCACAGTGTAGATGCCAGGTCCATGGAAAATCACGATGGTGAGTCCTCGCCTTCCCGCCCTCCGTTCCTTTCTTAAATTGGCGATGAGTGCAATATTTAAAACTTTAAAAAAAAAAAAAAAAAAAAACCCTATCTCATTTCCTCCTT